ATAATAATAATAATAATAATAATAATAATAATGATAATAATAATAATGATAATGATAATGATAATAATAATAATAATAATAATAATAATAATGATAATGATAATGATAATGATAATGATACTAATAATAATAATAATAATAATGTCATTAATTCCAAATATCAGAATATGAAAAGGGGAGAAAAATAATATGATGTATATATTTTTGGGGGAAATTATCAACAGTACATTACATCGACATTTGATATGGATTAAAAGTACCTGATCAAAGTGGTCTAAGTCTTTGCTAAAAATGGGAAATAATGAGAGTTAGAGGGTAACAAGTCAATCAAAGTTGATTTTGCCAGATTGTCCCAAAAGAAAAAAAAAAATTTCTTTAATTGTATTTGTTCTTTGGATTTATGGGCTTTATCCCACCTGTCATTTTGGACCGAAGAACCAAAGACATGGGGGACCATGTTGTTGGAAAATAAAGGTGGGCCTTGGTTCATCTTTTGTGGGCCCAAAAGATTAATGTTTTCATTATAATAATATGGTTGGCAAATATGTTTCCCTAATAGATATAACCCAGTAAAGGGGAAGCACATTGGGATTCTCTTCAAATTATAAGCTCTCAAGCATATGGTGGTTGGGTAACAAATATATAATCAACTGTCAAGACCATCAACTACCTCAATGAAGACCAAGATGTTGGATTGTGTGCTAAGGATGTTGAAGTTGAAGAAAGTTATGGGGCTTTTAATTTACTTTGCAAATCTAGTAGTTTTTTTGTTATTTTATGATTATTTTTAGGAGATTTCTTTAATAGGCACTAAAAAATAAACTGACGCTATTTTTAGTTGTCAGATTTATATTAGAAATTGTCCGTTCTTCATATTTTTTTATTATGATAATGTGATTTTAATCAGATCAAACGATTAGAAATTAATCCTACCGGTAGGGAGACGTAACCGGAGAAATACCCTTTTTTAAACCACTTCTTTACTGGTACTTTTATTGTACATTAAATTCTCAGGACTACTACAACTTCAAGTGCTAGTCCTTCATTTGATCTTGATACAATAATTTATTATCCTTCCAAAATTCCTACCACACTGTTGATTATCATGCTTAGAGAATTCGAAGGTTTTGCTTTTTCCTCTCAACTCCATTCTGAGTTTAACTGACCGTACACCACCCAAAGTCAATAATCAGGTTTTTTCCGAGAATGTTGAATTGATCTTCAAGGAGAAAGTGTAAGTTCCCAAAAACAATCGACTCTTGTTTCTAATTGGCTAACGCATAAGATCGCGAAAATTTTAAGAAAAAGGAAAGGTTTAATCTTTGATAGTTTGATAAAAGTGCAATTATACAATTGATCAAAAAGAAATGAAGAGAGTTGGCACAGATCGATAAATTGCAAATGGCCATAACTACTGATCGTGGAAAGAAAAAATCTTTTGTATTTTGATCATCCACTCTCTATTTTACTTTTACTAGCGTGGGGGCTTCAAAAAGACCTCTTAGTTTTTTCATTAAGAGATTTATTCTTTTCTATTCTAATTGTTTTTGTGCATCTTCTACGTAAGGTTGTTTCTTATTTGTCACCTTGTCACTTTTATTTTCTTGTTTTGGTTATACCTTTTGTGGCTGCTGGCCAGATTCTGATTTTCTTTATTTTTCTGTATTTTTCTTTTCTACTTGTTAATATTAGAGCGGATGAGTTGATATAGGACAAGTTGCTAAGTGGGTGCCAATTGGAAAATTTTTTTTTTTTTTTTTTTTTTTTTTTTTGGCTATTTCAATTCCCCTTCTATCCATATTCTTTGTACTACGATCATAGGTAAGTTCATTGCCATGGTTAAATTAATCCTCTTTTTTAGCCTTCTTGACTCCGAAACAGATTATGGATTGATTTACTGACTTGGAATAGGGCATTGTATCAAATGTATGGCAGTAAAACGTGTGGAATATTTGGACATAAGGATTTAGAAAGGAATATAATTGCCCTCCGTCTAAAGAAGTACATTAATTTGGTTAGTTTTATGTCCAATTTGCTGTCCTTAGCCTTCATATAATCAAGCTAAGCCCACTGACTAATAGGAAGAAATAAATTCAATGGTTAACATTTAGTCCATTCAGTATGCTTCTCAAAATGTGAAATACTAACGTCATGTTTGTTTCATACGTTTAAACTCATGATTTTAATTATGCTATAATACTTTTCTCTCACAAAAAAATTAAATAATAAAAATTCATGGCCATGAGTTCTCTCAATAAATTTGAATTCAAAATCGAAATTACTAACTTAAATGCTGCATAAACCAAATGAGCCATAAAATTTGGTGGGTTCTGATAATGCACTTTAAAGCTATATTTCACAGGTTGGTGCCTAATTGAGCTTATCCCTTACTGAACAAATAATAAGGAAATTATAAGTAAAAGAAAAAAAAAGGGTAAAAAAAAGAAAGAAAGAGAGAGAAATGAGAGATCTAAGACGAATACGAGTTCTATGCAATTACTGCGTACAAAGCTAAAACAAACGGTGTGTACAACCACCACTAGGCTTATACCCCATCGAGAGTCGGCAATAACATGTACACCATCTGCTGTACATTTTTGTTGGAAATGATTTCTAGGGATTTTCATCCATGACTGCCCCCCAGAGCAGGTGGAAGACCTCCCCTTCCAAGATGTTTTAACGATCTGCCCGATGGAGAGGGATTGCATCCATTTTCTTCAGAGATGCCACAGCTCCTTCTTCTTCATGGCGGACCAGCCTTCTGAGATGGAGAGAACCAATAATAGAAAATAGACCAATATGAAAAACTTAAAAAAGTATATAGACCAACTTTTAGTTATAGAAATTAAAAGATCATAACTTGTCAAGTTATGATTCATAACTAAATAAGTTATTCATAGCCAAACAAGTTATAGACAAAAACTGTGAATTATAGACAATAACTTATCAAGTTATGGTTCATAACCAGACAAGTTATGAATAAAAACAGTAATTTAACCTATTTATTAACTTACGTAAACTATTGGCCTATTAATTTTAATTCATCTCAAGTCTTGACCTATTTTCCTCTTTTTTCCTAAAATCAACTCGGAAGGGTAGGGAACCCAATGGCTTATAATCACACTAATCATCTTATATGTGGACTTTTCATATTTAACACTGCACGCTCCACAATCATCATCCACAGTGGCCCATCTTTCCAGCTAGATGACTTCGGAAATCCTCCCATCTGTAGCGACGAATCACAGAACCGTAGCCAATACTTAGCATTTGACGCTTTTATGGCTTCACAAATGAATCTTAATCAAGCTTATAACGCAATCACTTCGACTTGAACCCATGATGCGATGAATTGGCTCAGATACCAATTGTTACAAACTAATGTAGTAAAACTCATCCTTACAAAACCGGCGAGAAAAGAATTTAAGGGTTTATATAAACCCTAATCAGCATATATTTATTTTATATGAGACTTCTGGAATCTAACACATTCTAAACTTTAAGGACTATATTGTCCAAATAAAAAAGATAGTTAAAGGACTAAATTGCCATCTACTAAATAAGTCACGGACTAATTTATAATAGGAATGGATGAATACGTTTACCTAAAATAAATGCAAGCACAAGGTTTTTGTAAATTTTGTTAAACCTCAATCAGTATAAGAAATTTCTACAAAAACACTGAAATTCAAATTAAAGAAGGTATAATTCCACCTTCTATTTCTTCAAACGTACCAGTGCAAATGGTACAAATTTACTGTCACAATGAAGAACAACTAAGAAAGAAATACAAAATTGCAATGTTTGTATGCAGAATATCCTTATACTGAAGAATCAATTTTGTTACTTTGCCATTAGTACACTATCCTAGAGAATCCTCGCTAAACCCAATAGTGCATCCTTTACGCATCACCATTTTCGGATCAATGTCAAAAATGTTACAGCAGAACAAACACAAACTTTTTGAAACCTTACAAGTTACCAAAAAAAAAAGTCTCGAATTATAGTTAAAAGTAAAAAGCTCAAATTTGTGTGCTAACCATGGACTAGTAGTAGTATTTAAGCTACACAGAAAGTTTCCATCTTTGGTGCAAAACAGTCCTCGGCTAATGGAGTTTCAATAGCATTAGTCTAAGAAATACCTTTTCTCATCAGTTCTCTTGTTCAACAATGTTAATGGTGTCTCATAATTTGGAGACCGGTTCACCAGCGCCAACAATTTGACAATAAAAGCTCCATTGTTTGTGCGACTTTGTAATGGCTCCTTGACCGAATGGATTCTGTTCTACGTACTCTTTAACATTATCGGCCTCAGATAATCCTTCCAAATAAGTCCGGAGATCTCCTCCAGGTCCTGTGGAGAACCAACAAGTGTGAAAACACCCACCAGTGCTATTTGACACTAAAATGCGATAGCTGGGGTGGAGATTACAGATTAAACAATAAAACAACTAATCCCAGGAAAACCTTCGATATAAACAAACTTGGGAGACTTTAAACGCAAACAATGGAATTGCATATAATGGAGAAATGTAATAACTGGGAGACAGATTATTAAAATCAGCTTTAATTTGAAAACGGTTTTGTAGCGAAAAAATATCTTCTTCAAAAAGCCGAAGTTCTGAGAATCTGGATTTGCCCAGTTAAAAGTGGTGATATACGGGAAATAAGTACATAAGAGGATGAGTAAAATTCAGGTCAGGATGAGAAATAAGTACACACTAATATTTGCCCAGTTAAGAGGATGTTGAAATTCAGATCAGAAAAATAAAAACTTAGCATCACGAGACATAATAATTTTAGGGTATGTGGCGGACGAGGTACACTCACCTAATGAGTTATCTTGCCGGTTATTGAATTTATATGGGAAGGGAAAAACAGCAATGTTGGCCTGAATAATCAAAGGTCATATGAATGAACAAACAATATTAGTATCGGAGAAAAATCTGAACTCATACGGCTGAGCCCACAAAATGAGATGTGAAACAAAAGGAAAGGAATCTTCATCAACTGACCGGATTGCGTAAAGCCTTATATGGGGAATCATCCAATAACAAAGTGTTCGTTTCATCATACTCCCCCTTTTCAAAGGGAAGATCAGGCTCAACCTTTTCCCATACTTTCCTCAGTTCCTTCAGAACCAAGGGTTTACTCTTATTCTCTATGGTGTTAAGCCCCGTAGGAGTGCAATGTGATTGATCCTACATAATCATAATAATTTGAGTTTTCAATTATGAGTTAGCAATGCCTTGCTCTTTGTAACCAGGAGACCGCACAAGATAAAAGCAACAAAAACCACCCTGCATGACTGTTAGCTTTGAAAAATTCAACTATTAGGACATCAATTTACTGGCTGTTAAACTCGACTCTAAAAAAAAGTAATATCTCAAAGGCAGATAAATATGCAGTCTGAGATTTTAACTCCAACTTTAGAACCTAATGCAAGTTCAACATTTTGTCAAAAGCTCAGCTGCTCAAGCCAACTCAACTGCGGGGGGAGGGACGTATAGAAAAGCTTTAAAATAGCAAATAATAGACTGTACTATTCCAACGGACAACCATGTTCTGAAAATCTAGTCTATTTTAGCATTAATTTGTTTGTATTACCTTCATAAAGGCAATACTAAGAACACACACACACACACACACACACAAAGGAGGGCCTCATAAAGGCAATATATCTTCGAGGAAAAATTACTAAGGTCGACAAGATGTTTTAAAGAAGAATGTGATTATGAAAAGCTTTGAAAATATAAATATCACGGTGGAAATAAATGTCAGCCTCACCCCTTTAACATTTTCAAGGTCAACAAATTAGGTAAATAATTAACCAGAAACCACTCAACCATAAACATATTAGAAGTCAAACAAAACCAAGAATGTTAAACTTTTCAACCATCTTTCTAAAGTTTTTTTTTTTCCAAATTTTAGATAAAGGGTTTGACGAAGATGATGATGTGTCATGTGTGCATGTATGACGAAACTGTAACAATTACAAATTCAGTATAGTAAGCACTTACCCAGCAAAAGAGCAATTTATGTCTGGTTTGATTGAAAAGAAAATTCACCACCTTATCCACATTGATCCTGCAAATTAAGAATGATGAGAAGAATCTTTAGCCATAAGAATACCTAAAAAAATAAGCAATTCAAAATAATAAGGCAATAAAAAAGAAGGTAAAGTTTGAAGAATCATGGTTAGTTCATAGGTTGAGGATTACTTCATTCTTGACGACCAAACAGCAACATTGAATCTGTCGAAGCAGAATTGTAGAAAATCATCACAATAGGGCCTCTTAAAAACTGGGGGGAGAAAAAGCAAGATACCATCAGATTATTAGTTGTATGGTAAAAAAAAAAATGTAAAGCCAAAAAAGAAATGAAAAGGAAAATATATGAGGAAAAAAAATCCAACTTCAAAACTGGAAAGACAAAATTGACAATGTTCACCTCCTTTCTTTGATATTCTTATGTGAGGCCGGCAATACCTAGGAACTTGTGAAACAAATTCAACAAGAATTCCATTCACATCAAGGATAAGAAGCTTTTTCTTAGAACAGACAACTAAGGATCTTTCCGGCAAAGTGTTAGGCATCTGTGGAATATTTCCCTCTGTAACGACTGCATCCAAATGAACTACATCTTCTACTTCACCATTATTTGATGACAAAGGAGCTTCTTCCCTTGTTTTTTCTATCTTGATAGAATGATTAACAGTATCTTTCTGTATCATAATGTCAGCAACCTTTTCTGAGACATCTATTCCTGAAGAAGTCTTTTCAAACTTATCATTGAGTGTGACAGATGTATTTTCTTCTACCGAACACAGAGATGAAGTATCATTACCGTCCTTATCTCCAACTGGTTGCAATTTATCTCCTGAGTCAGAGGACTTTCTCACTTTCATGTGATGGTTCTTTTTCCTTCGCTTGTACGTTTCAAATTCCCTCGTTTCAAGAACATTACAAACCTCAGTGTGGCCATTGCATTTCTTTATTGAACCATTATTTACTCCATTCGATAAACCACTTTGTTCCTCACGGTTCAGAAATTCTTCCTTTATGCCAGTTGAGTTCAGGCCTGCAACTTCTGTAACAAAATCACCTTGGCTGAGAATGCCAACAATTTTATTTAGTGCATGGTCCATATCATCAATCTCCGAGGCACTGAATTTCTTCTGCTCCTCCTCGACCATTACATGAGAAAGACTAGACTGGGAACACTGTGGTTTCACTTCTGGCTCTATTTCTACAGATGATTTGAATGGAGGCTGAACAGTACCATCAAGAACCTTGTCATTATTCTCATGGACATTCGGCTCCATAGCTTGCTTGTTTTTCTGTTTCCCAGTTCTCTTTTTCCTGTTCCTTTCGTCTGTCTGTTGCTCAGAGCAACCCAAATCAGAATTTGGTGTGGGTTTTTCCAAATTGGTTGTTTTCGCAGTACTACTTTGGTCCGAAATTTCCAGACTTTGTTGTTCTCTTCTTACGGCAGTAGGCTCCAAGATGGCACCATTTAGATTCTCGCTATCAATATTATCGGTAGTAGGGTCCTTACTTCTAGATCTTTTCCTCCTTTTCTTCTCTGAGGACGCAACTGATTCTTTGCCAAGTACAAACTCTAAAGGGCACCTTTCTGAATTTATTACTGTGTCAGTACCAACAACAGATTCAGGATGTAAACGAACTTTAGAAGCACTAGCCTCCAATGATGCACTTAGATGGTCCGTGGTATTCATTTTAGAGTCGTCGTTTGTCTTGCTTTTCTTCTTTTTTTTCTTCTTTTCTGAAGCAACGTTGGTTGGTGGCTCTAATGTCATAGCCTCCGCCTCTCTAGGATCAGCAATCATAGAAGAATTGGCTAAGGGAATCACAGGAGTATCCTTTGCTGAAGCATTGTTCTCCAAGAAGGCGCTTTCATGATCTACAACATCCATTTTAGAGTTGCTACTGGCCTTATCTTTTTTCTTCCTTTTCTTCTTTCCGAAAGTAACATCGGTTAGGGGATCTGATGTTGTAGCCACCTCCGCCTTTGTAGGAACTGCAATCATACAAATATTAACTGGAGGCTCAAGAGAAGTATCCTTAGCTGAAGCACCATTCTCCAATGATGCGCTCTCATGATCTACAACATCCATTTTAGAGTCGCTGCTGGCCTTATCTTTTTTCTTCTTTTTCTTCCTTTCCAAAGTAACATCAGTTGGGGGATCTAATGTTGTAGCCTCCTCCGCTTTTGTAGGAACTGCAATCGTACAAATATTAACTGAAGGCTCAAGAGAAGTATCCTTAGCTGAATCACCATTCTCCAATGAGGAGCTCTCATGATCTACAACATCCATTTTAGAGTCGCTGCTGGCCTTATCTTTTTTCTTCTTTTCCAAAGTAACATCGGTTGGGGGATCTAATGTTGTAGCCTCCTCCACCTTTGTAGGGACTGCAATAGTACAAATATTAACCGAAGGCTCCAGAGAAGTATCCTTCGCCGAAGCACCATTCTCCAATGAGGCACTCTCATGATCTACAACATTCATTTGAGTGTCGCTGCTTGCCTTATTTTTTTTGTTCTTTTTCTTCTTTTCTGAAGTACCATTGGTTGAGGGCTCTAATGTTGTAGCCTCCACCACCTTTCTAGGATCTGCGATTGTAAGAATATTGACTGGAGGCTCGAGAGGAGTATCTTTCACCGAAGCACTGTTCTCCAATGAGGCACTCTCATGATCTGTTAAATTCATTTTAAAGTCATCACTTCTCTTACTTGTCTTCTTTTTCTTCTTTTCTGAAGTAACATTGGCTGGATCTAATGTTGTAGCCTCCACCACTGTAGATACCGGGACCGTGTCGATATTGACTGGAGGCTCCCGAGGAGTATCCTTCACTGAAGCATTGTTCTCCATTAAGGAACTCTCCTTATCTATAGCATTCATTTTAAATTCATCGGCTATCTTACTCTTTTTCTTCTTCTTTTTCTTTTCTGAATTAACATTGGTCAGATCCTCCACTGTTGTAGAAACTGCGACCATATCAATATTGACTGGAGGTTCCCAAGGAGTATCCTTCACTGAGGCAGTGTTCTCCATTGAGGCACTCTCATGATCCATACCATTCATTTTAAAGCCGTCAGCAATCTTACCCTTTTTCTTCTTTTCTGAAGTAAGACTGGCTGGGGGCTCTACTGTTGTAGCCTCTGCTTTTGTAGTAACCGTGACTGTACAAATATCAAGTGAAGGCTCCGGAGTAGCATCCTTCACTGAAGCACTGCTATCCAATGAGCCGCTCTCATTATCTATTACAGCATGACAAGTCTTACTTTTTTTCCTCTTTTTCTTCTTTTCTGAAGCAACATTGGCTAAGGGCTCCAATGTTGTATCCTCTGCCTTCGTAGGAACCGCGATAGTCCAAGCATTAACTGAAGGATCCAGAGGAGCAGCATTGACTGAAGAATTGTTCTCCAATAAGGTACTCTTATGATCTGTAGAATTTATTTTACAGTCATCGCTTGTCTTACCTTTTTTCTTCTTTGTCTTCTTTTCTGAAATAACATTGGTTGGGGGCTCTAACGTTGTAGCATCCGCATTTGTAGGAACTGCTCTAACTGAAGAAGTCCCTTCTGGACAATCATGGATTGCCTCAACATTCTTACCTTCGTCTTGTCTCTTTCTTTTTTTCTTTTTGTGGCAAGTACTTGGTATTTCAACCGATACTGCGTTTTCTATACCCATCAATCTGGTTCTTCTTATCCCAAGTCCTCCTCTGGCAACTAGTATTTCCAAAAATAGACGAGTTCTACTTGAAATACAGCGTTATTTACTTCAGGATCTTCTTATTAGCTTTCTAAAAGTTCAGATTCTCACTGGAGCTCTTTTCAGGTTAGCTATAAAGCATGCAAAATATTTCCCTCTCCTGATTGTAGCATACCCTGTTCAGGACCTGGAATAAATTGAAACCAAACCTGAGTTTCATAAGGAAAAGGAAACAATAACAAACTCTACAATTTTGATCAATCCAGGCAATGGTTTTAAAAGGCGGAATAGGGAACCAGGGCGTTTTGTCTAATCGAGCCTAGGCGTAAGCCTCGAATGAATGGCTTTTTATGCTTACACCCTACGTTTTTCCAAAAGAACAAAGACTCTCCCTTAACAAAAGTAAACTACACAACACCCCTTGACTTTTCAAAAAAAATTACAGAGACACCCCTCTGCAGGTTGATGGTGACAGAAAAACCCTACATTGACTGTTAAACAGTTTTAAAATGCCCCTGCCTGCATCAGAAAACGGATCCAGCTACATATAGTGCTGAAAATGATGTATTTACCCTTATTTAGCATCGAAATATGAGTTTAATTGACTTTTACACTTGTAACCATAATTTTCACCCTAGTGGAAAGAAAAATGTTTTTTCTAGTACCTTTCTTTGATTCAAAAGCCCCTTATCGATGTTAATATTGCTGGACAATTTACACGTAATATTTGAAAGAATAATGTCAGGGACACCAGACACCAAAGTAGCGTACTACATAAAAACATATCTATCCCAAAGTATTTCTAAGTAAGTCATAACATGAATGTAATAGTTGTTTAGTCCAAAATATCCAAAATAAGTCATGATATGAACAAAAATTAGCTATCCCAAAGTAAGTCATAATATGAAAATAAAAATTACTGTGTAAAATTAGAGTCAAATGTTGTGGCCATCTTGCTTGCAATTCGGATATATAAATATATATGTGTTATATAATCATACAAATCAAACATTTTACAACACCATTGAAGCTGTTTTCATTCCAAACACAAAACTTAAATGATCTATAAACTGAACTTCAACTTCAACTTCAAACAATGACGAACACAATTGAAGCTGTTTTCATTCTTATAGACACCAACTTAACGAAAATCTCATTCACCTTGTCACTCTACTGTTTTCTGGTTTCCCAAAATACTAATAACCATTTTGCAAAATTATAACAAACCCGCATAAACGAAATAACCATTATTATGCATCCAACGAGCAAAGATAAGATTTACATTCCAAAGCAACAAACAATTGAATCTCATAAGCAACAAACAATTGAATCTCATCACAGAAGCAAAGGGAAATGAACGATTATAAGAGAAACGATTAAAATCATCTCCTGAAAGAACTTGGTTTTTCAACCAGAAATTCCCAAATCCAAACAAAAATTACAAACATGAAGGAGGAGCTTGGCTTACAGGTGGCTTGAAATCGGCTCGGAAGGAGGGAGCTGGCTGCGCTGCTCACGACGGCATATCCACTACTTGGCGATGGCGGCCGATCAGTGATGAAATTTAGGTTTTTTTTTTTTTTTTTCGTTTTTGTTTGTTCGTTGTTCTTTTTCTTTTTCTTTTCTTTTTTTTTTTAACTTAAACCAAGCTGAAATGTTGGTTACGTAACTCAAATATAATTTAGATCTTTATTTTTCTTTTTTAATTTTAAAAATTGTGAGAATGATTTAAGTTTAAAAAAAAATTAGTGGGCAATTAAAAATGGTATTTACAAAGACCACATTGTAAGAAAAATATTAACATTTTGAACAAAATTATTTTAATAAGGACAAATAGAATAAAATACTATTTTCATGGTACATAACTATTTGGACAAACTCGTTCGGTTTGCTAATTCGAGTTTAATTTGAGTTAAAATGTGATGTTGTGTGAGAGTTTTTTACTGTAGTAAAAAAGTTAGATGTGATTGTTTCTTAGAGCTTTTTACTGTAGCAAAACTCGAATTCTAAACTCGAATCAGTAAAAAGAACAGGGACACGTTTTCTTTCGATAGGTCTTCTCACAAAACACCCAATGAACTTTAATTTTAACTTTTTTTTCTCAAACTTTAGTAATTCTTACAAATTTTTCTCTTTTGTTAAATTCTCACTTCTGTTATTGTTATTGGCCGACATACCTCCAAGGCTCCTTAGGTGAAATAAATTAAGAGAAAAGTAGTGTAGTAAGAAAAATAACTCATACTGCCTAATTACACTTCTATTTAATTAAACGAGGAGGAGTTAACAGAATAATTTTGTGCTAAAAATGGTTTAACAACACATTAATAATATGTTACGTGCTATTTCTGTTAAAAATCTTAACATAAAGAGTTTTTTTGTTAGTTTTGACATTTCACGTGACATTATCTACTAAAAATTTGGTTGAGGGAAAAAATTTGAAAAAGTTGTTAAACTTCAGAGGGAAAAATATTAAAGTCCCGTTCACTTCACCGATTCGAGTTTAGAATTCGAGTTTTGCTACAGTAAAAAGCTCTAAAAAATAATCACATCTAACTTTTTTGTTACAGTAAAAAGCTCTCACATAAAGTCACATCTCAACTCGAATTAAAAACTCGAATCAGCGAACTAAACAGGCCCTAAAATTAAAGTTTATGAGAGGAGGAGGGGGGACATTTTGTGACATGCTCCATAGTTAAGGAAGAAAACGTGTAATTTGTCTTAACTATTATCAAGTGAGAGAGAGAGCATAAAAAGACAAAATAGATGAACCAAAAGTTTGAATACTGAATTGCAAGGGGATGAATAGTAAATGCATTGACTTTCTATATTGTTATAGATATATATTTATCCTTCTTGTTCTTTTTATCTGTGATCTATGTACGTAACTAGAGCCCAATCAATTTTCTAGGCGCCATGCGAAAGGTCTCGTGCATGAGTCAAATCATGCGAAACATTTTGCACCACATTTTTCCTTTTTCGAAACGTTTTTTTCTTCTTATTTTCTTTTCTTTTTTTTTTTCCTTTCATGTCACGCGCGCGGACCACGTATTTGACTAGTTATTTGTAAAAATTTGTTAGTTACAGTTTTAGGGCAAGTAAAAAGTCTTCAAACCAGCAGTACAAAATGCTTGACTTCATCTGGACAAGAGAGTTGACAGTTGGCAGTATAAAATTTAAATTTTTTAAATTTTTGAATAATTATGATATTTATGAATAAATACTACATTTATGATAAATATGATATTTAATGATCACTAAAATTGGTAGTCAAATTTTTTAATAAATACGGTATTTACGATTAAATATTATATTTACTAATAAATACAATATTTATTAATTACAAGCGTTGGCGGCCAGATTTTTAAATTTTTAAATAAATATATTATTTATGAATAAATACAATATTTATTGATAAATATGATATTTAATGGTTGTCATATTTGGTCACGAGTCGTTGGCGCCAACCGTGGTGGACTTAACTAAAGGGAGAAAGAAAGATGGTTAAAGGATATTTTTAAGTTTTTAATATTGTTGAAAGTCTATAAACTCCTTTCAAAAAAAATAATCAGGGCGTGTCTATAGTATGGGACCTTCTTTTTGTACCGGTAAGGTGAAATCCAAAGGTCTATTGCAAATCTCAATGATGGTCTATGTAGTCTCTACCATAGCGTATTGCAACCTAAACCCAATAATTTTATTTTTATTTTGAAAATCACAACAGAAAAAATGAATAACGATGCTTTGTCTTTCCCAAGTGACGCACCGTCACCCCCACCTCCACGGACCTACTGCCATGTCACGTCTCTAAATAAGAGTTAGTGACGTGGAGACTTATTTAAAAATTTAAATCTGTTTAAGAAAGTGATTAGTAAATAATAGTGTAAAATTTAAATTTTAAATCCAAAACATTCAGGTATTTTTAAACAAGCCCCGCTATGTAGAAGAAATTTAATTTCAAGAAAAGTGGTGAAATTTTCAACTAAACCAGTTCAAAACCTCACCCCTGGTATTATGTCAGGAATTCCCACAGGTTAGCATACATGAATATAAACAAAATAAATGTTGACATCAACCACAGTCTAGTAATATTTGAGTTTACAATCTATAATTTAATACATACCTTGAGATAAAAGGAAAGAAAATGCAATCTTCACTTTTCGAAGACAGATTCACCTCACCGGTAGAAGCTACCTATTCCGCACTACTCCTCGCGTCGTTTGGAGGGGTTTAATACATTTAAAACATAAAAAAATGAGGGGAAAGCCCAGTAGGATAAAACTTTATAAAACATAGTAAATAAAAGGTACTCACGGTCCGAAGACATACACCCGGAACCGATCATCCTTTTTTTTAGGAAAAAAAAAAGAAATACTTACGTAGTAGTAGCAAAATATTTGTCTAATAAAAATATGCAAAACCATAACACCACTGAGCAAGAAGTGGTAAAATGTCTGTATAATAAAAATGTGCAGAGCCATAACACCAATGAGTAAGAAGTGGAACCGTACGGGTTTAGGGTCTTGCCCCAATGATACGATTCCCATATCCCGATTTTTGAGGCCACACTGCGTTTTATCATTTCTTAAAATATTTAATTTTAAGAAATGATACTTTTAAAAATCTAATTTCCAACATCATTGGAAAACTTAATAGCATTATTCATGCTATATCCTTTAAAATCATTTTCTTTCAACATGTTTTAGAATAAAACATTTTCATTAGCCAAAATCATTTAAAGTAAGGCTAACAAGGATATGGACAAGAATATCTTACCTTTCGGATGTCAAACCTGAGCTAGCATTTCGTTCTTTTAGCCTCCGCTTCCCTTAAAGCTTTAATACTTGACCTTCTCCACTAGTTTATCACAAAAGTAATATTTTAGGAAGTATTTCTCATTCTTAAAATGAATTAAACTCAATCATGTTTAATTGTTTTCTATTAGTGTGCCTTGACTCAAATCTAAGTTTCACAAACGATTTTATAATCAATTTAAGGGTTCTTTAAAGATTGAAATTCAATTCATGGGTTTAGTTTCCTATTTAATTTCAGCTTAAAAATAATTTTTTAAAGAAATTTCAGCAACATGCCGACATAAATAAGAAAAATACCAAATATGCAATTCAAATTCAATTTTAAAATAAATTGTTCATAATCCATCAAAACTAGTTTCCAATCAATTCAACAAGTCAAATAAATAGAAAACCTCCAAATTTCATTCAATTCTAAGAACAATTGTTCAAATCTAAACCCTAACTCAAAATTATTCAAATCTAACCAAAATTAAACTTTCTCAAGCTTAAAATTCAAATCAAGAGTGGGTTTTAAGGGATTTTATCTCAAATTAGTTGACGGAACCTTGTTTCCCTCTGTTTCTCCCGTTTTCTATGTTTTTTTTTCTGTGTGTGTCTCGGCAGCAAGCCGAGAGAGAGAGAGAGAGACGGCTGGAAAGGGAGAGAGAGCTCGGAGGTGGTTGGCCGGCGTGGAAGAAGAAAGGAGAGAGAGGGGCGGCGGTGGGAGAAACCAGAGGAGAGAGAGGGGGGGCTGCGCGGGAAGGAAAAGAAAGGGAAAGGAAAAAGAAGAAAAGAAAAAAAGAAAAAGAAGAAAGAAAAGAAAAAAAATGGAAAAAGGAAAAAATGGAAAAAATGGAAAAAAAAAAGAAAATACACTAAAATTTAAGTGTATTTTTAAAAACTTTTGAAGTCAAATCATAAATATTAAAAATAATTTAAAGTTCCTTGATTAATTGTGAAAATCAAATTAGACACATTAATAACTCACAATTTAGCATAATTAAACATGTTTAATTCTGAAGGGCGTTACACGCCATCCCACTCGTCCACCGTGACTCCCAACTCTAGTGAGCCTAGCTTTGCTCCACCCAGATCCCCACGCCCCCAAGATGGATGTGGCGGTGTCGTCAAGGGAGGTGACGCGCGGTGGTCGGCGGCAACACCAGAGGTGGTGCTTGGACAATGTGGTATCATTTGTCTTGAAGAAGAAAGTTGTTTTTTTTTTTTTCTTTTTTCATTTATTTTTAGGACTAATCTAGGGAGATAATCTTTTTTTTTTTTTTTTGTTCATGTAAGATTATTTTGGACTACTGATTTTTAATTGGAGAGCCACTGCAGTCTGCAGATTCACCCTACCTGTAAGGAAAATATCACCCCTTGTCAGACTTTCCCAAAAAATTTTGCTCTGAACTACATGTTTTAAAAAATTATATAATAATTTACAAAACATCCTACTAAATATATTATTTCCTTCTTTTTATCTTTTTCTTAACGAGGAAAGAACAACATTATTAGGCTTTTCATAACAGCCAATTAGCGGCGGAACCACACTCAGAATTACAAAATTTTGAGTTTTACATCCTTTTTTTTTTTTTAAGAATTTCAGTTGCCCCAACTCAATATTACAAACTCATAGTTATGCAATCATTCAATAAAACTATTATAATTTTTTATTATTTTATGCTCAATCTAAAAATATTTTCCGAAATTTCTGAAAGCATACTGATCTTAAATAGTATGCTCCATTCATAGTTTCTATTTTTGGCATCAAACTTTCCTAATTATGTGTGGAAAGGAATGAAGAAAATACATGGAGATTTGACGTTTCGAAGGAACCTTTTTATAGATTTGCATCATTTTTTAGTGACAGCTGTAGACGACAACTCGCACAACAATGGAGCACCAAAAATTCTCTTGCTGAAAACCGTCATCCTACTCAGATGGGAATGCCAAAAAACCCTTTTTTTTTTTTTTTTTTTTTTGTAAATATATATGCCAAGGCCTAAATGTCTCCTACTTAGCACATACATGACTTTACAAAATATAGACATTCACTAAATCCAGTTGGAAAGTCCCCATATATCTCAAATATAAAGCTTCATAGACAGAAAATAAATCCAAAAGATGGGGAAAAACAGTACTTCTCAAAACATTGCATGCTGGGGTCGCCATGTACGCCGTTCTTAGACTTTGACGTACTTATCGACATAACCCTGTAGAACATTAAGGAAGACGATGATGCAAGAGCAGTAAGAATGTATAAACACATAAATGTATATTCTCTTCAGCAAATATATATTTACACACACAAACCCTTTCCCTCTATAACCCCACAATTCCAAAGCAAACAAGTATTACTAGTCTAAAATCTAAACTGGCTCTGGACATGATAAATCAAAGTCGACCAACTAACACTTAAAGAAGAGAACTTTGTTGCAAGTTTCTTAATTGGGAAGGGATTTTACAACTAATACTCAAAGCTATATAACCACTTTGTTATTCTCCTTATCATTAGAGCCGAGAAAAGTTTTGATTGTCTTGTCAGACTTTCTAGGCAACAAAGCTCCTGAGAGTTCTGATAACTGGAGAATCAGTACACTGCCAGGTCCATTCCATATAAAAAATGGCCATGCTTAAAGAACCTAAGTATTGGGCCAAAATGTAAAGAGTCCCTCATTTTCTTCTCACATATTTTATGCATTCACAGAAAAAAATTAAATTTTATCCCGATCAACAATTTCAAATTATGTGAACACAAACTATGTCTCGTCGAAATCAGGGAAGATATTAGGAAAAGAAGATTCTTACCATGACAAGTTTTGTCAATTTCCGCTGCTGTGAGTCAATATATTGGTTAATCTTTGCCTGAGACTTGGGCATCTGGTGGCCCTTCATGGCCCCAGATACCTTATCAACGGTCTTCTTGACTATGGTCTTGAAGGCCTCCTTGCTCATATTACCCTGACGCCATGATGGCTTCAAAACATCCTTCACAAAATCTGCAATAGCAATCTTAAAAGGCTTTGTTGATCGGGAATCCTTCTTCTTTTTCTTCCCGGGGGACTTCGTCTCAGTCCCTCTCTCTCCTGCAGTTGCTACACCAACAGGCTTACTTGGGCTCTCATTCTGAACTGAACCCACTTCCGCATCAGCTGTCTCACCGAATTCATCATTATCCATAGATGTAGTTGAAGCAACAGCGGCGACCTCATGTCTGTTCTCTTCCAAATCCAATGGCTTATAAGAACCACCATGCCTTGCCACTGAATCAGATTTGCTAAAAGGTTCTAATTTTCGACCATGATGATCTTTGCTTCTGGCATTGGATGATGGATCAATGCTGTCAAAAAGTGGATCATACTGGTCGCCACCAGCCCTAGGCAAGATCTTCCCTACAGCTTTATCAGAACTCGGCGAGGAAGTTGCCTGTCTAGATCCGAAGCTGCCAACACCTAGCCCGTCAACGGCAACATGACTTAAACCAGAAGTATCATATTGATTAGCAGACAGTGGACCCTTATCCTGACTGAAAGCAGTAGAGCTGAATTTGGAGCTAAGTGGCTTCTCAAATGTTGATGCATAAGGATTATAATGTGCAGAAATTCTTGGTACCCCAAAATCAGCATCACTAGATAACTGATTCCTGTCCAGAAGATCTGGTGGGTACTGAGGCATTGAACCGGGTTTTCCAGGAATACTCGGGCTGCTATCACCTAGAGGGTACTGCAGATGGCCAGAATCCAATTGCTTGTGCGAAAAAGGATGAATTTCGGAAGATGACTTTGAAACACCACCAGATAATGGTAGCATGCTGTTCGCAGATAACTCCTGAGAAGAAGGCACAGGTTGCTGGAGCAAGCTGCGATGTCCTAAAGAACTCGACGTATTCAAATCCTGGATAGGAGGATGTGTAAAGTGATCATCTCTCAAAAGACTAGGAGCTCCAAATTGACTTGTAGTGTTGCCTGATCTAGAATTTTCAATTTGCAAGTTTGGTTGATGTATTGAAGGGTAGGCTTGGTGCAGAGAATTGGAATACAATTCAGTAGGATGAGGCCTAACAGAAGTCTGAAAACCGAAATCATTCCTTGGAGGAAAGTGACTCTGCGGAAACTGTGAAGATACACCAGCCGGTGCAGTTTCTGTATTGAAACGCAAATCATAGGATAATTGAGGCGGTGGCGGTGGCGGAGGTGGCAAGGAGGTCCAAGAGGAATTTGGTGGTACTGAAAACTGTGGATGTTGACTGGCTACAGAAGCCTGGTAGGGTTGAGGATTTCCCACATGAGCAGGCTGAAGTGGATAAGATGCAATCTGTGGCATTGAGCCGTGACCCATAGGAAACTGAGCCATATGAGGAGCATTTGCACTTTGTGTATGTGGAAGGGGAGGGGGAGGGGGCAACTGCAAAGATTGTTGTGGAGTAGCTGGTGCAGAATAATTAAGAGGAGACAGCTCTTTAGGAGCTGGGAACTGAACGGGTTCAGATGAAAGTTCTTGTGATGAGCTTGTGTTGGGCAATGGCTGAGATGGTAAAATGTTGCTTGGAAAAGATTCACTATTAGATAACTTCTTTGGAGAAGTTAAGGTTCTCTGGTTTGGTGATTCATCAGATACAGACGAACCTTCCATCTCAAGAGATAGGGAATCGCCATTTTGGTCTTCTGTAACTGAAATATGGCTTTGAGGTTGATGAACTGCAGAGTTTTTCACCGAAGGATGCTCTTACCTAGAAGTATCAGCATATGAATCCTGAACATCAGCACCATCAACAAATTGAAAGGGAAAGCTATCAACTGATGGTGGCTGGTGAGACTCCTCCCCCAGAGTTTTATTGTCACAGATCTGAGGGTTTGACTCAGCTGGCGTTTCTTGAATTATTTGTTTCTCTTTCACTGTACCAGCTATCTCCCTAGGACTCTGGCATTTGACTGTGCCAGAATCAATCGGTTGACCAGTGGGATCCGAAATAATAGACTTCTGAGATTTCATAGCAAGATCTTCCTTTTTCCAATCAACTTTTCCATCTTGCATCTCTTGATTATGGGCTTCATCACCAGCATGCTCCGGAAGTTTTACAGAGGCAATATTACTCTCTTTCTTTGTCTTATAACTCGCTGTACCAGATGGAAGTTTGCCCCTATGGTGCCTCGAAGTGTCACCTTTCTGAACTTCATGGTGCATGAATCTACATTTGGCTCCACGGTTGCACCTGCCTCGAATGAAGTCAAAACATGGTGGAATGCAAGCCCTGTCTGATCTCAATTTCTCACCACTCAATTCACATGCACGCCTATATATGGGAGATCGGCTCCTGCTTCTTCGGCTCTTAGGTGACCAGCTGAAATGCATCAAGAATATTATTTGACAGATCATACTCGAAAAAATGACAATATTTTTTCCTTTTTCTCAAAATGATAATATTAACAATGAAGATATTAAAATAATAAAAAAAGGGGAAATCAGCCACTCAAATAGAACATCAGTAAACAAAAAGCGGTTGCTACCTGCGTGATCGGCTTCGCTTCCCTTTTCTCCTCCACGAACTCCTCCTTGTTCTCCTCTTGTCTAGAGGGGATCGGCTCCGACTCCGACTCCGATTTCTACCTCTTTTTCCTCTTTTTTCATGCCTGCCAGTATACCCTAAATCAGAGTCACTGTCACTGGAACCTTCTCTGACCAATCTCCCAAACTCATCCACTTTCAACGAAGCTGACTCAGACTTTGCCTTTTTTGCCTCATTTTCCTTCTCTGTCTTGCCCCTTTTAGAGATAACATGACTATCTGCACCGTCCAAGGCAACTTTCTTCTGAAAATCTGCATGAGAAGAAACATCTTTGGTAGAGCTTTGTTTTCCAGGGTTTCTATCCGCATATCCATCAGTTCCAGTTGAGATGGATGCTCTACCAGTAGCTTGAACCTCTCCCTGTGAAACTGGGGAACAGGCGGCAACCTTCTGAGACAGGTTGGATTCCAATTGCCATCTAGACCGCCTTTTTGACTTTTCAATACAGTGCTGACTCTCCCATACCATATCTGTCTCAACACATCTTCCAGTATCTCTACAGGGACTTGACACATCTGCTCTAAGTGATGGCAGAATCGAGGGACTGATGTCTTTATGCAAGAGTTCATCATCATTTTCAGAGTGGTTGTCAGAAGCGTAGTCTTGAAGAAGTCTAATTGGGCTACGACCTGTGATAACCTCAGGAACCTTCTTTGAATTAAAGGCTTCAAAAGCTACAGAAGCACCGATTAAATTCAAATTATCAGGTAGGGGGGAAACAGTTTTCCTTAGATCGCCATCCAAGGAGCATTCAGCTGCACCAACTGAATCCTTGACCTGACTGTGGTCTCCCATAGCAGATCTTAAACCTTCACTTTGTTTGAGCAAGGGTCCACATGAAAGATTTTCAGAAGAAATACCCCGGACCAGGCTATGTTCTGGTGAAAGTTTTGGTGCATGTAGCCGGTCTTTCACAACACGTTCTTTGATGTCAAGTAGAGGTTCAGTTGAGTGATTCATTTCTTGGTCTTTATCAAAGAGGGTTATATCATCTTGCAAGCACACATAAAAAATTTAAACCAAATTATTAACGTTCTGCCAACGCATAAGTGTAGTTTAATAACGCAGTACACTCTGTAAAATAAGTAAAAGAGTTTTGCTTGAAAAATTAGATAAAATTAATGAACCAAGACTAAACTTGTTCCCGAAATCGCCAATAAATTTTCAGTAAAAGAAAAACAGCATCCTTATAAACTAAGTGAAATTATTGTGTGTGTGTGTGTGTGTGAGAGAGAGAGAGAGAGAGAGAGAGAGAGAGAGAGGTTTAACAGAGCACGACACTTTACAAGAGAGACGGCCAAAGAGAAACAATATGTACGTAAAGAAAAACCCCTAAAAATGAAAATAATTAAAAAAAAAAGGATGGATAAAGGAGAACAAAGAATAAAATCGAGCTACATGCTTTCTGGGAGATAAGATAATATGGCAAGATAAATGGAACATTAGATAAGAGTATTACTAGAAACACATAATGAGGAACTACAATAATGTCAAAATAGTAAAATACCAGGGAGAAAATGAAACTAACCTTCCATCTCCATGTCTGAATCCGTATTTGATGTGCAACCAGCTGAAGCAATTGAAGCATTAGGCGGCCGCAAAGAATCCATTTGCAAAGGCGTTATTGCTCGTTCACTTTGTTCTTCGTGAAATTTATGTTCCAGAAGATATTTCTTCTTCAACCAGAGAAAATACTCATAACCAATTGCAGCTTCACTTCCAGGGTCACCACCAAACAGAAACTTGTACTCTGGATTCCCATATTCACTTTGTCGAGTCACATCTTCTACATCAGGGCCATTCTTTGCAATTAGCAGGCACAAATCTTCAATTCTTTGGATAATTTTCGCTTCTGTTCGCTTCAATGGAAGTGGGGGAAGATTTAGCAGCTCATTTCCATTAAGTGATGGAACACCTCCTGGTTGAGATCTCACTTCACTGCAACGTCCACCCTCCAAATTTTGGGAGCTTCCATGCACAGATGTATCATCTCTGACCTGATTGATAGCTATAGCTTCATCACCAGAACTAGGAGCCCTCAGTTTTGATGTCGAAAATGAGGGATTGGAAGACAATGGTGGAGACGGTGGAATCGGTGACGCAGAAGATGGCGGTGGAGGTGGGGCCATGGAAGAGACATGAGATTCTCCCGTTATTGTTTGTACAGAACTTCCATATGCAGCGGGAGTGAAAAAACTAGAGGTGGTAGGGAGAGGGGGAGGTGCAATATGGTTATGACCCTGCACTCCACCAGGATATGGTGGCGGCGGGAAAAATGTAGCTCTATATGATGTTTGTCCCTGTGACTGAGGAGGAGGCGGCAACGCTCCATGAGTTTGTGGGGCTTGTAACATTTCTGGGTGAGCAGGGCCATGTGAAAGATGGGGGCTATGATGCACAATTTGGGCTCCCATGTGTACTAAAGGAGGTGGGTGTTTGTAAGATTCACTTGCATTTGATGCCCGAAGAGGAGGAATTTGCATAGGAGGACCAGGGTGAACAAATCGGGGAGGGGGAGGAAGACCATGCTGGTATAAGTGAGGACCTGGCTGATTCTGGGGTGGTACAGCAGGCGGAGCCTGCTGAATTAGAGGAGGGGGTCGGGCCTGAGACCCTTGTTGGAATTGGAGGTTCGGAGGAGGAGGAGCTGGTTGGTGCAGTTGGTATGCAGGCGCTCTGGGCGGCTGAGGACCATAACCTTGACCATACATTGAAGATGGTAAAACTTTATAAACACTTCCAAATGCTAGTTTTTTACCCTCATTAGCCCAATTCTCTCAGGTTTGGTCTTCAACTCAAGCTTCCATGGAATTCGCGGAATTCCTATGAAACAGTTTAGAATTTCGCAAGTTTATACACCTCTACAATTTTTTTCTCTCGTTCATTTGACATTAATAGAAGAAAAGTATGCTTCAAATAAAGAACGTCCAATAAATATGTGCAAAAACTCCATCTTGACAATACAAAATAGTGGCCTAGACTAAAAAAAATATTGATAAATTTCAACAAGTGAACACAGTAAGTTACAATCAACTAAACTGCAGTTAGAAAACTTTTCAAGTGTTATTTAAACGATCAAGCAATCTTTAACAAAACTAAAAGCAACAACAACAAAAAAAAAGAAATGTAAAAAGAAATTTCATTAAGCATACATGTTATATATATATATATATATATATACAAACTAAAATCGACTCTTATCGCTCACACGGTACGAGAACCAGTTTCCAAAACTAAAGATTTGCAAACTTTATCATTCAATTCCGTACCAAAATCTAACAACAGGTGAAGGAATTAACAACGGCCATTCAATGAAAAAGATATAAACTAGAGGAAGAATCAACAGAATCAAAGTCTACTACGTCACAGTAAGTTCAAATCCCCATTTCCCTCCTCAGTCACAGTTATTTTCCCGGCAACCAAACAGCGCACATTCATTAGACAGTACAAAAGCTAAATCACCACGAAATCCGCGAAACTTACCAAAATGGAAGAATGAATTGGAAGTCGCCGAATTTGAGAAGCTGAGGGTAAACCCTACTGAAAATGGGAATTTGAGTTTTTTTTAGGTTTTTTTTCTTTCTAATTATCCTAGAAAGAAAGAGTGAAAAAAAGAAGCTTGATAAACCCAAAGAAAAAGAAGAAAGTGGTTTTTTTTTTTTTTTTGATAGAACTGGTCGTTCCTGTCTTGTTTGTACTGTAATGTGAGTTTTGGGTTGTTTCGGGTTCTGAAGGTTCTAACTCAGCGTTGAAGTGAAGAAGAGTTTTTATTTTATTTTATTTTATTTTAATTTTTCTTTTTTTCTTCTTTGTTATCTTTATAATGGATCGAACCCAGCACGGCCAAACTCAAACCTTTAAGTTGGCGTCTAAGTTAATTTAGAGTTCGTTTAATTCGCTGATTTAAATTTTTAATTTGAGTTGAGATATAATTTTATGTGAAATTTTTTTACTGTAATAAAAAAATTAAATGTGACTGTTTCTGAGAATTTTTTACTGTAATAAAACTCAAATTCTAAACTTAAATTAGTAAAATAAACGAAGTTCTAATTATGTTATTTAATTTAGCGGATCGAGAATGACCGCTAGGTCAAACCATTAATAAGAGAAAGTCTTATCCATTGTCAAACAACATAATTAACACATATAAACAGTAAAAAAAAAAAAACTAGAATTTGAGATATGCAAAATATGGAAAAAAAAAAAACAATAATACCGTAAGTTTTTTTCTATCACAGATACTTAGATCTATTTGTAATGGTTGAGATTTCAATAGATATATCAAAATACTGTAAGATAAATGCTTAGTTGGTAGAGATTATTAGAGGCTAAAATGAATTCTCTAAATAGCCACAACTAGTTTGTGGTGTTTGGTAAAAACAAGAAAAAATATTTTTAAAATAATTTTTGAGTAAGTTGGGGCCAAAATCAGAAGCAATCTTTGGGATGCTTCTGATTGTAGATTGTGCGGCAATCTACAAGCTTGGTGTAATGAAACTTTCGTTATTCCCCATTTAACATTGTTGAATGAAAAAATCTCACACCATTATCAGGTGTTGTTCTCTCTTCTCTCTCGAGTTCTCTCGTCTCCCTCTCTGCTTTCCCTCTCTATCTCCCCCCGAAATCAAGCTCTTCTCTATTTGTTCTCTCATTCACCCTCTGTGCTTGACAGGGTTTTAATATCTGCCTGCGATTGAAGTTTTGGCGGACTCTCTCTCCCTTCTCTCGGTCATATATGGCTGTGGTGGTTAGGGTTTTCTGATTGTGGGATTGTCGGTTGAAGCTCAACAGATCCAAGAGTATCGCCGCTGTAAGTACTCGACTGATCTATTTAAACTGATTTGGTTAGGTTTTCACAGAAATTTTTTGCTATGGCTGCCTTTATCTCCATTTTGCTTTTGTTTTCACCGTAAGTGTTTTTTTTTTCTTTATTCGATTCTATCAACATGTGGGTTAATGTTTGTTCCAGCTTTATTCCGTGTGTTATCACCGGATTGTTCTCTTGATTGATGGATTTTGGGGAAAAAAATTCATTTTTTTGCTTTGCTCTATATTTCCTGAGTTTGGGGGTTTCCTGATCTTGCGGGGTATTGTGTTGATTTCCGAATCGAATTCGGATGCGGAAGCGTGAGAGGTAGCGGATCGTGTATAATAAAAATTTTCATAAAACCTTTGAGATACTCTATAGATTATATTAATTTATGCACGAATAAATTAATTACATTAATTTATTTAATAAGAACTCAATTATGAATTATACCTGGCAGCCGATTAGGGTGATAACTTGAGTTTTTTGACCACGAACAATCATTACTCTAAAGCCTTGTGTTTAGAAAACCAACGTCTTCCACGTTAATTCCTAGAATCCATGAAGACGTGTGTGTGGGTACACCTAAGACAAAACGGGTTAGAATAAATACTCAAATTTCCACAAACACTAACGCATGCACGATGTGGAATTTTTGGAGAAAAATTTTTCCTTCCCACACTAAGAGAATTTCGGCCACACTAAAAATAATAGGTCAAAAATTGTGTCTTATAATTTTCTATCATTCTGTTATTTATAGAGTAGAAGTCAAACTTCTAAAAGGAATCCAATCTCTACCTCCAAGATAAAGCTTGTTAATTATCTCCTATTTGAATTTGAAACAAAATCTCATATTTTATTTTATCTATTATGGATAGCCACCTATAGAGGAGTTTATCCTTGTGTGGCGCCAAATATAGATAGGGAAAAAAAAGAAAATCATCATTTATCCTACAGTCCAATTTTGACTCAAATTCCAATTTAAGTCAAACTTAAATTAATTTGAATTCTAAATTGAACAACTTATCAAATAAGTTTAAATGGATAAATCTAAATGTGTTCAACTTCAAATTTAAATAATCTCATTATTTAAATAATAATTAATTCTCAATTAATTATTTTTGAATGTTTAATTTTAGAATTCTGTAATTCTAAAATTCCCATTTTGCCCTTGTGTCTTGTAGAATTACTAGGACGGCACAGGGGCTAATGGACCTATAATCCCGAGCTCCAATAAAATTAATAATTAATTAAACACTTTAATTAATTAATTAATTCTATTAATTCCAATAATTACTCCACCATAAACTTGAAATTCCACTCTCAAAATTATAGACATAAATTACTTCTAAACTGTGAAGTGTCCATTTGATATAGTCACTGCATATAGATTAATCCTCCATAAATAATTCATAATTAGAACTAGGTGAAATCCGTTAACCTCTCTAATTATATCTTCATCCTTGAGTATCATTGATTCTCTAATGGATAGTGATTTATAAAACACATTCATGAACCAGAACGCTCTTACTAATCCAAGTACCGAATCAACACTCAAGAAAATTATTTATCTCTTTTTTTCTCAAGATGGAATGGATTCCATCTTGCATAATAACATGTCCGGGTACCTACTTCATCATGTCTCTAAAATATAAGAAATAGGATTCAGGGTCTTGAAATCCGTACTGAATAAATCAAAAGACACAAATCCATAAATAGAAGTTTGTTAACAACTCATGATTAAGATCATTCTATATATGACCATTAGTAGACTCAATTAGAATTTCTATACTTAACGAAAATTATTAGAAATTCATATTGTGTCTATATCCCTGTTCCACATAATCTCATTATGCGTAATACACTCATTCAATATCTTGCCATATTAACAGTGCGGATAACACCGTTCCATTCTAAATGGAAATGACATGTATTAGTAATGTTTTAATTAAAGATTCCCAACTTTAATTAAATTTATTACGAACATCACTTTTTGATTATTATCCTTAAACATTATCCTCTCGCATACAACACTTATATAAAATGTTTAAGGTTACATAAATAATCACAGAATTTTCATTTGGTATTCATAAAATATTCACAATTATATGTACATAAAATGATGAATAAACTCTTTTATTAAATAAATAATAAATATCTTATTACATCTCATTCTTTTATGACATTATTCCCAACATATTAGTGGGGGGTTTCCTAATCTTAGGGCGGTAGCGCTGGCGGGTTAATGGGTGGGAGATTGAGGGGAAAAAAAGGGAAGAAAGTGGTGGAGTTTGGAGACAATTGCAAAGTAGAGAGAGAGATAGAGATACAGAACTTTGATTACATTTCCTTGAATATGATTATGGAAAACAATAACAAATTGATTCTTGTTTTTTTTTTTTTCTTTTTTCTATTTTAGAGTAAGTTGACATTTCAGGGGATTGTGTTTGTGTTTTGTAGGTATATGTGTGTGTGTCTGTATATATATGTTTGCAAGAAGTTTTTTTTTTTGGAATGGTGCTCTGTTATTTGGTTGGAATTGTTTTATGGATATGGTTATTTGGTTGGAATTGAGTCTTTTTTTTTGTTCTTTAAACGATGTTGCATTTCTGAACGCCTTCCAAGAAAATGGAAGTGAAATTAATCCATTTTATAATTTTGGTAAGAAGTGAAATATTTTTCTTGCTGGAAGTGTGAAAAACTCAATTTTGAGTAAGCAATATTGTATAGTTAATGTGTGTTTAGCCATTCACTTCATCTTCTATGTAGACATATATCCCTAATTAGAGATAAAAAAATAATATGCTTCTTATAGTTAATGTGTGTTCCTTCCAGAGCACCGGAGATTGTTGGTGAAAAAATTCAACCTGTGTTTAGCATATCTGGTTTTTGTAATTGGTAGATAGTTATTTCAGTTACTAGTTGGTCTTGTCAGTTAGTTGTTCTTTTTGTTTGTCAATAGCGTTATGTTCATTCATTCATTCGTTTTTTTCCCACCACCAAAAACTGTCTGATTGGTCTGAATGAAGCGATTTCAAGTGTAATATTTGCATCTCCGAGATGTGCAGATGTACCGGAACTAATGGAAATCAGGAAGCATTTAATGGCAAAATATGGAAAGGAATTTATTACTATAGATATCGAATTGCATCCAGATTGTGGCGTAAATCGTATGGTAAGTTTGTGCATCTCATGCAACTTTCATGGATAGTTGTTATATGAAAAATCAGTGTGAACAAATAATGGCAGTAGACGCTGGAAATGTAGAAGTGTAGTTTATTGCTAATTTTATTGTCTGCTTTTGCAGTTGGTGGAGAAATTATCTGCCAAGGCACCCGATGGTCAGACCAAGCTTAAATTCTTAATTGCAATTGCAGAGGAACATAGGGGTTGTTCTTTTGCAACAAAACTCAGAAAAAGTTTAAACTCAAATTATAATTTTATTCAAGTTCATATTCTTTTAAGTTCCAACTTTATTCAACTTTACTCAACTTCATTCAAGTTACAACTTCAACTCAAGTTATAACTCAAATTTAACTCAAAAACTGCACTCAAGTCACACTCCAAAAGAACAACCCCATAGTTATTGCAGGTGTTTTCGTTTACGAAGCAAGTTATTCATTTATAAAGCAAGTTATTTGTTTACGAAGCAAGTTATTCATTTATGAAGAGAATCAACTAGAAGATAATGTAGAAGAAAATCATGTTTTACTATCACAAGAAATGGATAAAGTACAATATCAAATTGCAATAAGTTTAATAAGCACGATTTAATTCTTTTAATGCCTCTACTAGTTTTTAAACGTGGAATGTACATTTTTATTATATATGTTGATTACTCACTAATACTCATTTTTGTTATAACTATATTGTGAATAAAAAAATAAAAAAAGAATTAATTATCTTATTGTTA